GAATTTGTATTAGAATTGTAGAGGTAGGTGTTCTGTTGATTCTGTTTGGTTTGCAAAAAGTAATAGAATTAGTCGTATTTAATTTGGCTTCGAATAGGGATCGCTTCTTTCTTATGTTCAAATAAGTATATGAATTAGCAATTTAGCAACAACAAAAAAGTATATGAATTAGCATCGCAAAAATGTATAGTATATTTTTGTACAGTCTAAATGATTATCTATTAAAAATTATGAGAAGATTTACATAAACGATTTTACAACAGATAATTTTGTTTTGCTTCTAAATAATCTGTGATATATAGTGCTATCTGCAGCATGCTCTCTACTTACACGGAAATTTTATATAAAATCGTCTTCATTAATTTACATTCTCCTAAAATCAAACTTTAGTCTTTCTTATAATTAAATTATATAAAAGCACTAATAAACTATTGGTTAACCATTGAACCGTGAAAGCTTCTATTGAATATACTTAGCATAATAATCAGTGCTGGCTTAAAACATGTGCTGGCGATTCAAAATCAGTCGATCCCATGGAGTTTTTCGAAATTCCCTATAAGATTTTACCAAATTTTTTTAAGGATTTAAGAAATTTCTTAAGGATCTATGTATACTGAATATGTATATATATATATATATATATTTTTTTTTTGCACGATGTCCCAAATTTTCTTTTGAGCCGGGCCTGGCTAAGATTTATAGAAAAATTATCAGGAAAATAGTTTAATGTTCAACCGTTTCGTTTATAATTTAGTGAACATTTGGTTTATAATGAATATCGGTTAAGTTAATTAGTTCCTTCTTTTTTTTATGAGATTCTCTATTCAAACGTCAGCTCCTAATTTAGAGTAAACTAGTCATTATATAATCTTAAATATAACGGCACTTGGTTCTCCTTTAAAAAATGCCTTTAACTCTGCCTTTCTCGGGCATGTATCGACTCTTTGACAAAAAGTCGTCGTTCGCTTTTATATCAAGAAAAAATAAAAACTCAACTTCGAATTAACAAAAGAGCACATGATTCCAACTTTGTTGGTAATCCAACGGTCAATAGTCACCCGTTTCGTCTTTTGATATATCGTGCCGACATGATGGTTGGTCCGCAAACTTTGGAACCTATTTACTTCATTCAATATAAAACTTTTAATAGAAACAAAAAAAACCAAACTAACCCGAACGGACGTGAACAAACCGAGCTCAATCTTAAATTTTGGTTTAATCAAAATTCTCACTCTGGTGTAACAAAATTTGAACCATGTTACGAAGTAATACGAACACTTAACTGAACCAAACCTGGTTCGAGTTTTTTTGTTTGTTTGTCGCCGGTTCGAGCTTTTAAAAAACCATAGATTAATCGGATAAAGAACAAAGAAGTAAGAAACACGTGTCATCTAGTTACTGGACATATGATTGATCGGCGCCGTTATAGGCGCCCGAGGAGGCGTTAGATCCGCTTACTCGGCAAAGGGCATGTTTGTCATTTAGCGTTGACGCGTTAGCGACATCTAAATTATGCTGACGTGGAAATCACAACAATTTTAGGTATAGTTCTTAGGCCCAATTTTAGCCACTAAGCTTCAAAATTTTCCATCAAGATGGAATTTGAATTTTTCACGAGCATGTTCCAATGAATAATGCCTTCCACCTCGCAAATTCAAACCTCAAGCCACAAATTTACAAAACGTTGGAATCATTTTAATATTTTCGTTAACCAAATTTCAGTTTTGTGTCTATTCATTAAAGATTTATATACAAGCCTCTTCCACAAGTGCTAGAAAAAAATTATAATGGAGTAGCACTTAAAGTCAATAAATAGTTTGTGTGTGTGCCCGCGCGTAGCACCCAATTAATTTGTTTCTAAATCCTGTATATATTGTCTTAATTTTATATAGGTTTATAAGTCTAATTTATACCTATCTTATAGCTAGCTGTTGAAGTTAAATATTGTTAGATATTACTCCCTCTGTTTCACAAAGAGTGTCGTTTTAAAGTTTTATTTTTGTTTCACAAAAATGTCCTTTTATATTTTCAATGCAGAATTTTAAACAATATTCCAGTTTTAACCCTATTGATTTAATGTATTAATTAGAGAAAAAAAGTTATTTAATGCATTAATAAAAGGTAAAGTAGTATTTTTAATAGTTTTTTTAATAAGTGTAAAAAATGTCAGAATAACACTCTTTGTGAAACGGAGGGAGTAGCATATTGCTATTCAATACTTTCGAATTAATGTGATCAATGAGCATATTGTGGAAACGGAATAACGGATCGTATACCTAACCAACGTTAGGTATTTTTGAATTTTATATGTTCTTTCTTAAATCCCATATGACTTCTTAAATTTATATACATCAAGTCAAATATATTATACAAAAACTTACCTATTACGTACGTATTACTATAATTAAAAATAATCCCGTAAGGCCAGGGTGATGTAATTTCCCATGAACCTCTTGGAAAGACGAAAACGAATGTAAATAGATCATCGTAATTATTTAAAACGAATAAATCATTTATCTCAACGATTAGCGGATGGTTGTACATGTTTGACCTTTTGATCGTGTATATCCATTTACCATTTGTCACGGTGGCCATACATGAACTAGAGGTGTCAAATTGGGCTCTGACCCGCGGGTTCGGCCCAAGTAAAACCGTAGCGGTGTGGGCTTGGACACCATAAAATTTGTCCAAATAAAAAGTGGGTTTTGCGATCCAAATCCGCGTGGACGTTGAGCTTTTGCGGGTCGGGTCAAAGCGGATCCGCGGGTTTGCGGGCCAACCCGCAAAATTTGATGTTTTCTTGTAAACTTCGAAAAGTGAAGTATTTTGTCATTTTTGATTAATAGATTTCGAAGTAGTAGTTTTATAGAGTGAATCGAAGCCTAGTGGAATCATACTTCAGCTATTGGGCTTTGTGATAGCTTTATTTCAATGAGATCAAAGAATCATCAAACTAGTATATGTTTTATATTCGATTCGATTCAGATTCTGTGATTGGATTTTTGAATTTGAGAGAAAATCTGGTCATTGTCTTCAGCTAAAAACAAGTAATTTTTTTTAGAGTTTTAATTAATTTCAGTTTAGTGTCATAAGTTTGCTTGTTTTTTGTTGGTTTTGTTCATCGACTATATCACGGACGTGGTTTTATTTTGTCTGCAGCGATGCAAAGGTAATTTAGAATCGCTTAAATCTTGAATTGACAATAAATAGTTTTGCTTGAAAATCACATTTGTTTGTACGCTAGACTAACAAATAAGCTTTGTTCATATTTTTTATTATTTATTTTATATGTGAATGTCTTGTTGCTTGTATCTTGATGGTTATTTAGCTTAAATTACCAGTTTTTATGTGTATCATTATTTGTAATTCATTTATTTGCTTTTCAAAATTAAGTGTCTATTTTTACCGTTAAATTGATTTTTCAAATCTTATGGTATCCTAGGGTTAGGAGTTTTGTATAAGAGGTTTATCGAATTCATTTGTTTGTTCATCGAATTTACTTAGACAAGAATTTTCTTTAGTTTTGTTTCTTATGCATATTGTAATTCAGTTACGAGGAAAATTTTATTCTCCTCTAGCAAATTTTCTGGTACTATAAATCTAAATGTCATAAAAACTTTAAGATGAAGAAGAAAGTATGAATCCGCAGGCCAGCCCGCAAAACCGCAGAATATAGGCGGGTCGGGCTTGGACACATCAATATGGGACCGCAGCTTATGATGGGCCAATCCGCCAGATCCGGAAAAAAATTAAACCCGCATCGAATCGGGCTATTTGAACGCGGGTTGGCCCGTTTGACATCTCTAACATGAACAATGACTAGTGAAATTACTTCAATCTCTATTCCGATTCTTTTACCTGAAAAAAAGTTTTAGAAAAATACCACAATTACATTTTTTTTAATATATATATATATATATATATAATTTTATTCATTATTAGCCGAGTCGTTGGCTTTTTGAAGTTTGAAAGGGGCCTTGGGCCACCTGATCAAAGTAAAGCAGCAACCAATTTTGATTATTACGTTTTAATCTTTGCTTAGAAGGTAATAATGTAAAAAAAATTGTTATCCACACCCTAGATGTCTACAAAGATGAAAAAAAAATTCGATCGAGGTTGAGGTTGGACATTTGCTGTCTATCATAAGAAACACCTTTTATAAATAATTATATATATATATATTAGATATATCTATCTTTCAATTACTTTTACAAAAAATAAATTTTTTTGTCAACAACATGCATGTGAATGTGGGGTGTAATTAAAAAAAAAAAAATAATACCTAGTTACATAACTGCATCAGCCAAAAGATACAATGATAATTGGTTGCCAAGAAAATTGATTTCATTTACTTGTTTTTGAATAATTAATAAGTTAACTATGCTATTGCCAAGAAAAGATTGATAACCAATCTAGTTTAGCTTTATGTGTGTAATTTTAATATATTTTACCTAAATATTTACATAAAATGAATATAAATCAATCCAAAAAATGAAAAGAAATCAACTAAACCCGTTTTAATTATCATAAAAATCAGATTTAGAATATTAACTTAACGTTTCTAATGAATTTATTTATAGCATCTTTTAAATACAATCTAAAAATAAAATAAAATAAAACTTCCATCATCATAATCAGATAATAAATTATTTTTTCTAAAATGCTATTTAGTTTTTTTCTATACAGGTCACAAACCCTTATGTGTCAAGAATAAATAAGAAACGGACAAAATATTCTGTTTTTCTCCAAGATATATCTCTTTCTATTAGATTGAAAAACATAAAAATTATTTTGACATACAACAAACTAAAATATTTAACAAGCCTCCTTAGTCGGTAAACCCTAACCCCTCCTAACCACGCTGCAATCTTTACCACGTCAATTCCAGCTCATTGATTAATTTTAAAAAACAAAAACAAAGATTAAATAGGAGAAAAAGCCTTCGCAGGGTGCGCGTGAAGCGAAACCCTAAACCAGAGTATATATACACGCGTATATCTCTATTTCCAAATCCTCTCAACCTCCTCAAAACACACAAAAAAAAACCCTTTTTTCTTTTATAAACATATATGTATGCTTAGCCTATCATGAGCAACATCCCCAGATCTCTCACCGACTCATCTCTTTCTATATTTCTTCTCATTATTTCTTCTGCTGTCGATCCTTGGCCCTTCTCTATCGCCGTCTTCTAACATCAACCTCGCCGAAAAACCTCCAAAACCCGTCGCTTACTACTTCTTTTCTCATTCTTCGATCGTTTTACTCAATCTTCGTGGTTCTCGATAGGTTTTTCGGTAAGAAAGATTCGATCTTTTTTGATGGGTTTTGAAGAACAAGAACAGAAACAGAGCCCAAAACAGAGCAAGCAGATGGTGTTCAAGTTTCACTTTCACGTTCCGCATCTCCACCTACTCCACCATCATAACCATCATCATCATGTTCCTAAAGGCTGTGTTGCGATCATGGTGGGACACGAAGGAGATGAAGAAGGTCTACATAGATTCGTGGTTCCGTTGATGTTCTTGAGTCATCCTCTGTTTTTGGGACTCTTGAAAGAAGCTGAAGAGGAGTACGGATTCAAACACTCCGGTCCGATTACGATTCCTTGCCGTGTCGACGAGTTTAAGCATGTTCAGGAGATTATCGACGAGGAGACTCGTTGCCGTCACGGTCACGGTAACGGACACAGCAGCCATAACCACCACCACAAGCTCCACAACAACCATCTGCGATGTTTTTGAAGATCTGTAATTGGATTTGTTGGTTTGGTTTGGTTTGACATATAATTGGTATTGGTTTGATTGGTTTGGATTGACTAATTCTCTTTTGGGATTGTTATAGTTTGCTTAAGTTTCGTTTTTTAGTTAGTGATGATGATGATGAAAAATACAGAGAGCAATGAATGTGAATGATTCTTCTTTATCTTTTACGAATGTAATCGTGAGGAATAAGGAATTTTCCAATTTGTGGTTGGAACAACGTATTATTTGGAATTATTTTAATTGAAAGGTGTGAATAATTTTCTTTCTTTCTTTATTTAATTGATTTGAACGCGTTTGGCAATGGACCATGTTACTTTTGTTGTTCTTTTGCTTCGAGAAATTGCTTTCCTCGTTAGGATTACAGCCACCACGCCAAGTGTCTCGAATATATTCTACTATTTTTTTTTCGAAAGTTAAAAATTCAACGTATCTTAGAATTAGCAAAAAAGCAATATTGGTATCTTGACTTTGATTGAGATCTTGACAAATTATATCGACCTTAATTAGTATATCTTATTTTGTCAACTTATTAGTGCATTTAACACGGCCAATTTAGTACAATATATACAATTAACTACTTAAATATGTAAAGAATTGGTTTCGATATATACTAAAATACCGTCGTATCTAAACAGATCTATACAGACATATCTATAATCCAGCCTATAATTTTCTATCGTAGATTGGAAATTTCCGAGATTTTCTCACTAAGAATATTGGAAAACTAGAGAGATACATATGTTCACATAATGACTTGTTGAGTTGGTTTAGCCGTGCAAACCAAGAAAGCATGGATCCAAACCCGAATCGACTGTTGGGCTTCAGGACAATACAAAACTAAAATGATATATACACACGACAATTATTTTATTTTTATTTATTTTCCAGAGAAATTCCAGCGAGTGACGTTCCCAATTCCAACGCAAGTGTTTCCATTCCGTCGGCGAAATCACGATCTACATTTCCGGTAAGTGATTACGTTCCTCTTGGCCACAACATTGTTAGTTCTTCTTCTTTACTTGATCCTTATTTTTTTGTTGTGAAAATCATATTCATAAAACCTTGAAAAAACCCTAGCCTGACTTGTCTCAATGTGGTTTAGTTTCTATTTCTCAACACTAAAGGTGATTTTTGATATTTAGAGTTGTCAGTTTTGTTATGCATAGTTAATTACGTTGGTCGCAAGCTATGTATTGGTAATACTTACGCCTCCAAATCGTGTCTCTCTGAATCTTGCGTTTCCGTTTCTGTTATGCAGAGTAATTTGTCTACAGAAGAATTTAACACATGGTTGGAAGAGCGGAAGCGAAACAGGCTCGTTGCAAAGGTTTGAGTCTGAGATCGAAGGAAGATAGGATAAGCCAGTTACCTGATCCTTTGATCTGTCAAATACTGTCTTGTCTTCACACAAAAGATGCTGTTAAGACAAGCATTTTGTCCACCAGATGGAAGACTCTTTGGCTTTGGGTTCCTGTTTTGGTCTTAGACTCCCACAATTTCACAAGTTTAGATCACTTTGTGAGTTTTGGTGACAAATACTTCGATTCTAGTAGGGTTTCATACATACGCGAACTCAACTTATATATTCTTGATGGATTTGAAGACGGTGATATCTCTTATCTCAAGTCATGGATTAATGCTGCGGTCGAGCGTAAGATCCAACATATAGATGTTCTTTGTCCTGCTGTTAATTATCATTATGAGATGCCCTTAAGCCTTTATACCTGTAAGACACTGGTACTCTTGAAACTTCAATGGGTGATATTGGCTGATGCAGAGGTTTTCTCCTTACCTTGTCTGAAGACTATGCATTTAGATTTTCTTATTTATCACAATGAGGCCACTTTCGAGAAACTTGTCTCATGCTGCCCTGTCTTGGAAGAGTTAAAGATTTCCGTAGCTAGGAATGATTCAGAAGTCATACGGGTGCACTCTCGGTCACTGAAGAGGCTCACTTTCATACGACTTGCCGCGTCTTACCAGTTTGATTCTGTTTTTGGAGCTGTGATTGATGCTCCTCTACTACGCTTTTTAAGCGTCTTTGATAATGTATCAAAAATTGTAGTTAACAATTTGGACTCTTGTGCCAAGTTAGATATTTCTCTCAACTTTGATGTGATGCCTTTTAATGAAGCAAGTGTTTTAGCGTGGAGAAGTCGCATCCGCAGTTTCCTGCCAGGGATCTCTAGGGTTAGGGAAATGGCGATAGATGCGGACACTTTCAAGGTATACATGAATGTGTATTGGACACATTTGCACATTTTTTCTTCAATGTAAAAGTTTCCAACCCCACAAATGCTTTGCTTTCTGTTTTGGTTTCAGGTTATTCATGACTATTCCAAATTAGAACCGCTTCCTCAATTTCGTTACATGTCCCGACTGTGTGCTTCTCTCTGTGTATCCGATTTGGAATGTTTACCAACGTTTCTTGAGAGCTTCCCGAACTTGAAATCCTTCACTCTGGTGATGATCTGCTCAATCCAATGATTTGTTTCTTTTTTCCATCTATATGTATTTTTCTGTGTATTTACTTATCGTGTTTTAATCCTCTCTCTTCCCTCAGAGATTGAAGGATCATGAAGAAATGCCTTCTGAGGAGATGAATCAAATCAGTTATTCATCTGTTCCTGCCTGTCTTTTGTCGTCGCTTGAGTTTGTTCATTTCCTGTCCCCAATCTCAGGATATGCTGCAGAAATGAAGCTGGTAAGGTACTTCCTTGAGAATTCAGCACTCCTCAAGATACTCACTGTTAGTGTGAACTCTGATTCAATAGACTATGAAATCTTCAAAGAACTTCTCAAAATCCCAAGACGCTCTACAACGTGCCAAGTCGTCGCGTCATCTGATTGGTAAAGCATAGAGAGAACATGTGAAGAATGTCTTTTTGATTAGACGCCAGTTTGATATAAGAAGCTTTCTTGCCACACAAGAAATGCAGGTTTTTAGGCTATTTCGTATGTAAGCTCATAGATAGGATTCAACATCTTGATACTCATTTTGAGTACTTTGTACAAGGTTCTTGCTCTAATTTTTGTTACATATACCAAGAATCTACTCTATAGCACTTTTGAAGTTGGATTGAGTTTTCATATTTGGCTTTTTCTTTTTGTCTGAACATCTGATTTAGTATATATTCTTTATCGACATTGTCAATTTAGGCCCATACAGAAATCAGTTTTAGCCCAAATTGAGTTTCCATGTTCATTAATTGCATGGCATTTGTGTAACAACACAACACACTATTATATTTCACACACACAGAAGAATCCCTCAAAGTTCCGGCGAGTGATTCCCAATTCCCGTCGGTGAAATCACTCTCTACAGTTCCGGCAAGTAATCACATTCCGTTGCGTTCTTCTTCTTATCTTATTAGTTATTTTCACAAACCCCTAACCTAATAAAGCGTCGCATGTACAATGTACTGATATCGATCTCTGTTTTAATTCTTCCGTCGAATGTTGATGTTTAGCTTGGACTAGGTTGTGTGTCCGTATTTCATATATTTCATTGAAAAGTAGATGACTGATTCTGTAACTTTCAATTATTTATTTGTTTTTCTGAAAACTTGGATGATGCAGATTAACTTGTGTGAAGAAAAGCAAATATGGTGGGTCAAAAGAAAAAAACCAAAACTTGTGGCAAAGGGTCACAAGAAGACATGATAAGCAAGTTACCTGATGCTTTGATAGCTGAGATACTCTATCATCTTCCCACAAAGGATGCTGTAATAACAAGCGTTTTGTCCACAAGATGGAGGAGTCTCTGGCAATGTGTTCCTGGATTAGACTTAGAATCTCACGCATTCTCGAATTCTGATGCGTTTGTGAGTTTTGCTGAGATGTTTCGGGAGTCATTAGTGATACGCAAACTCCGGTTAAGAATTCATTATGGGGATTCTGATGGTAATATGCCCTCCCTCAGCTCATGGATTGATTCTTTAACTATGCGTCTATGCGTAAGATTCAGCATCTCGATTATGATGCCTGTTATTGCAAGAGTGCGAGCATATTTACCTGCAAGACGCTGGTATACTTACGACTCCGCAAGTGGTTCACCTCGGTTAATGCAAAGTTTGTTTCTTTACCTTGCCTAAAGGTCATGCATTTAGAATTTATTTTGCATCTCAATGGGGCGGTTTTGGAGAAACTTATCTCAGGATCTCCAGTTTTGAAGGATCTCCTCAATTACTTCTCTATAGCTGTACATATCGTTTATTGATATCTTTTGTAATTAGGCATTTAAGAGCGTAGCTTCCGACTTGTACTTGTATATATTTCTGCCTCCATGGCTTGTCAATACAAAACAACTTTCAGTCTCTTTCTGTTCATGTTTCCTACTGTTGTTTTGTTTCTCGTCTTGCAGGAATTGATTAAGGAGCGTTCCATGTATTATGAGATCATAGAACCAAAGGTGATGTTTTCAACAGTGCCTGGGTGTTTGGTATCATCGCTCAGGTTTGTGGAATTGAGACGTTCGATCTCAGGGTATGAAGTAGAAATGGAGTTAGTAAGATACTTCCTGAAGCACTCAAGAATCCTGGAGAAATTAAGGCTTGATATTTACTATACGAAAATGGCAAAATGTGCCTTCCTTACCGAACTCGTTGCAATGCCAAGAAGCTCTAGCGCTTGTCAAGTCATTGTTCTCTAATTACTAAAAAGATGTTGAACGTTTCGTTTTCCAGGTTTTTTTTGGGTTGTTCAAATAATTGATTTAATACTTTTGAGCCACAAGCAAAATTTTGCAGTTAACTCTTTGGTATGTCTCATTCAAGGACTAAGTAGGTCTTTATATGTGTGAAAGGTTGACTAAGCAAATTAAAATGTCTAAAGACAAACAATCAATGAAAACATCTGTTTTTAGTTAAGATGGAAGCTTCTAGTAGCTTATGTGATGTTTGTTCTCTTGCTGTATGATCACATCAATGACAGTTTGATATGTTCGGATTGCTTCGGACTAGTAATGTACGAAGTCTAGTTTAAAATCAGATTAAATATTTTTACCGATAGATCCAAAAAAGAGTGAATCCAAACTGAGATTATTTTTTTTTATATAAAAGTGAAAGTGAGACTAAATTAGTAAATTACTATTTTAAATTTTTAAGTGAAAGTGAGATTAAGTTATTAACTCAGAAATCGTTTTTGCCATATACTATGTATCAGTTTTAATAATATAGATAATACCTCAACTGAAAATCGGCGTCGTTTTATAGAATCGTGAACATATTTTTTTTTGCCATATTATAGAATAGATAATACCTCGACTGAAAACCGGCGTCGTTTTCATAGAATAGATAATACCTCAACTGAAAACCGGCGTCGTTTCTAGAATCGCAAACACAATATATATCATACAATAGGAGAGATAAACGGCACATTTTGCTTAAAACCCTAAAAAAAGCTAGAGAGAAGAAAGCATGACCGTGGAGAAAGACAAAAAGATCTTATCCTGTTGTGATAATTAAATTCCATTCCGGTGCGTTCCTCCTCTTCTTCTTCTTCTCCTACTGTTCCTTGATTTTAGACATCTTCACAACCCTTGAAATACCATAAACCTAACAAGCATTTGATTTCTCAGTGTTTTCTCGCTCTGTTAAGGTACCTTTTTAGGGTAGAATTTTGAGTTTATACGTATCTATGTCCGAACTTTCTACATATCCAGATTATTTTGATAGTGTATCCGAATTTCTTATTTCATTCGTCATTAGTCCGTCGTTTTGCAACTTTCAATATCTCTTAAACTTGATGATGATGCAGATTTGTTGTGTGAAGAAAAACAAAAAAATGGTGGGTCGAAAGAAGAAAACCAAAACTTGTGACAAGGGGTCACAAGAAGACATGATAAGCAAGTTACCAGATCCTTTGATATCTGAGATACTCTATCATCTTCCCACAAAGGATGCTGTAAGCACAAGCGTTTTATCAACCAAATGGAGAAATCATTGGCAATGTGTTCCTGGATTAGACTTGGACTCCCGTGCATTCTCGAATTTGGATGCCTTTATGAGATTTGTTGGAGGGTTTCTGGAGTCATCAATGATACGCAAACTCCGGTTAAGTAATCATTTTCCTGATAGTATCACCTTTCTCACCTTGTGGTTTGATGTTTTGACTGCACAGCGTAGGATCCAGCATCTCGATCTTGATTTTGCAATCTATAATTATTACGATAATGTGATACCCCAGAGCATTTATACCTGCGAGTCATTGGTACACTTACGACTCTGTCGGGCCGTCTTGGCTATCACCGAGTTTATTTTCTTACCTTGCCTGAAGATCATGCATTTAGATTGTTGCTGGTATAGCAAAGAGGCCACTTCCTCTTTGGAGAAACTTATCTCAGCATCTCCAGTTATGGAAGATTTAACCATCTTCAATATGTATGAGCATCGTGAAAAGGTTATACAAGTGCGCTCTAACACTCTAAAGAGAATTCACATAGATCACAGTATCCAAGTGGTGATTGATGCTCCTCTACTCCAGTGTTTGAATGCTAAATTCACTAAATCCGATCTTGACATGTTGCCAACCATTCTTGAGAGCTGCCCAAAACTAGAATCTCTTATATTGGTAATGAGTAGCTTTATAACCACCCTCTGATTTATGCATATTGTTTGTGAAAAAGAAAAAAAGAAGCTTAATTAACGTATCTCCCCACTCAATTTTGTTTCTTCTTCTCTTTGCAGGAATTGGTGAAGGACCCCAGTCGTAAGAAGAACACAGAAGCAAAGGTGATGTTTTCAACGGTGCCTCCTCAGTGTTTGGTATCATCGCTCAAGTATGTGGAATTGAAACGTTTGATCCCAAGGTATGAAGGAGAAATAGAGCTAGTAAGATACTTGCTGAAGAACTCAACAATCCTAGAGACACTAAAGCTTGAAAAAAAGGCAATGCGTGCTTTCATCAAAGAAGTCGTTGCAATGCCAAGATGCTCCAGCGCTTGTAAAGTCCTTGTTCTCTAATTTCTTCATTTCGTTTGAGGCTTTTTTGGGACGTAAAATTGGATAGTTTTAGGAGCCTATTATTAGGTTCTGAGGCACAAGAAAAATATTGCAGTTAAGGCTTTTTTATATATGTTACTTGGTGATTGCTGCTCATGTAATAATCAACAATTTTATTTTGAATTTGAAAAACATTTCCCCAAATTATTCAAGCATTAATTTTTTGTGACTTGTGAATCAAAGGAAGGTTGTTGATAAACAAGTGAAGCAATGAAATTAATCTCTTTTTATGTTCTTTTGTGCTCGCTGCTTTATTTTGTTTGTTAAAAACGTCATAATTCATTAACTGGAACTGAGATATAGTCATCGAGTGCAAACAGGAATCAAAAGAAATATTTATCAGATGTAAATATGTGATTATCGTGGTTTTTAACTTAAAACCAATTGACAATAAAATAGATCGAATTATATAATTTCACACAATTTTCAACTATCTATGTAAGACTTTCGCTAACAACATAGCTAATTATCGAAATTATGGATGAGATAAACAAACAAAAAAAAAACGATTTCAGAATATACAAGTGAAAACCCAGAAACATTTACTGGTTTAAAGTTTGAAAATTATCTTTCACTCAAAGGGGAATTTTGATGAGGTTAGTCGCAATTTTATGATGTTTGAACTGCCTTTGCATCCAAAGATAATTAGTTGTCTCCGTATTTGATCCGAAACCGGATTATTTGCCTTCTCTAATACTTTCAATTTATTTTTCTTAAAATTTGGTGATACAGATTACTTGTGTGACAAGAAAAAACAGTGATGGTTAGAAAAAAAAATACACGGTCAGAGGAAGACAGAACAAGCCAATTACCTCATGTTTTTGATAGCTGAGACACGTAGTCATCTTTCTACCAAGGATTAATGGGCTGACTTATATGTATAACTAAACGCAATAGGCCCGAAATGACTATAAACACAATCGTCACGCTCACCAGTACAAACAAGGTTACCAAAAGTCCAAAACCAGTCTTTAGTTTTTAAGCATATTCGTCTCTTGTGCCTCAAGCATATTCGTCTCTTGTGCCTCAAGTAATCATCATCGTTTGATTTCATGCGTTTGAGCTAGGTTTTTGGGGGATTCACGTGATCAAGTCTGATATACTATTTTAGGGCTTTTTTTTTAACTCAGTTTGCGAGAAATCGGATTACGTTGGTCGCAAGTCGCAAGCTATGTCTCCGTAAATACCTAGCTAGGCCTCCAAATCGTCTCTCTCAAACTTGCAATATTCAACGTCTTTTTTTTCTTTTTCTTTGCAGAATCTGAAAACAAATGTCTCGTCGTTCCAAAGGGTTGAGTCAGAGGTTGAAGGAAGATAGGATAAGCCAGTTACCTGATCCATTGATATGTCACATACTTTCTCACATTTCCACAAAAGAAGCTGTTAAGACAAGCGTTTTATCCACCCGATGGAGAAGTCTCTCCCTTTTGCTTCCTAATTTAAAACTGAATACCAGGAGTAGAAGGAAAAACGATTGATTCTGCAATTTTTCTCTCCTGCGTCAAAAATTTCCGCCATTTTCGTTCCTTAAGCCTTTTCTTCAGCTGTTCTCTTCTTCTACAGTGGTTCTTTTTCATTCGTCATCTTAGTCTGCGTCTTAGCTAGAATTTCTAAGGCTATATTATATACTCAAGGCACTTTTCTTTTACTCATTTTCACCCGATAAACCCTAGTTTGATCAGTAGTAGTGGCATTGGAATCTCTTTGTTGGGTTTCTCTCAATGGAGACCGCTTCGAGCACAGCCACTGCTCGTGGCGGTTTCAGATTCACATAACGTTGGAGATGCTTCAGACTATGTGGTAAATTGCTATCTGAAACTCATATATTTGTTCTATCTGTTCTTTGCAATTCGGATAGTGCTCTCGTTTGTGTCATTAATCGTTATCTAGTTCAATGTGTGTATAGATTTCACTGTAATTCCTTGTCCTCTCTTTGGAGTTGGCATTTTCGAACATGTTCGTTTAGAGATTTGAGTGGTTTGCCTATGGTTGTATTCACATTTTGATCGCCTTTGTCAATTTTCGTCGCAGGATTTGCAACAGTTAAAGCTAAACCAGACAGATGAGAGAATCATATATGAGGTTAATTACTTCTCTCTTGCAATTCCACTTTTTTTTGTTTTAGTTCAATAGTGGAAACGACCTTTTTAAGTGGGCGTTCTTGTAGTGCAGAACGGAAGGGAGCCTGATAGTTTCTCAAATGGTGAGCTATTGGAGCAGCAACTTCTTAACGTTTCTAGGAAAAATCGAGAACTACAGCAGCTAGAGATTGAGCTTCGAGACCAGATGATTGCAAGACAAATCCAGAGCAACTTTGAATCTCAATTCACAGAGTATGCTAATGCTGCTGCTAGAATGCAGATTGGGGTTACTCTGCTCACTCTTCTGATAGATTAGTAACAGGGTTTTTTTTTCCTGGATTTTTTTTTTGTACATTTCATTGAGCGCAATGTTGGCAATGGTAGATAAAGGAATCTTGTTTAAAATTTTAGGAGCAACTTCATCAGAAAGAGAGATCTGTTCGAGAGGTGGAGAGTAAGTCAGAAGAGAAAGACAGAGAGCTACATGTGACTAAACTTGATAATGAAGTGGTATGCTGGGTTATACATTATTCCTAGTTTTTGCCAGATGTAAATCTGAATGATTTGTATCTGAGGTCTCCTTGTACTCCAACTAGGCCTGGGCCAAAGAGGGTATCATAAGAGAGCAAAATAAACAGGTAGGAGATCTGAGTTCTCCTTGTACTCCATCGCCCTCTGTGAATGAACAGGTAGGAGATCTCCCCAGGAGGTCTGCAGTTATTTGTGGTAGAGGACGACTACATTCAAGTAAGAGAAGGTGCACAGAAAATGGTAGCAGATTCGGCATCAACAGCAACAGCAGCCAAAGTGGCAGCAGCAGCTTCAGTTTCATCAACTCCAAACTCGAGCTATGTGGCTAGCTATGACTCATATGGCTCAATCTCATGGGTCAAAGAAGAATGACATAACAATCCATAGAGGAAGACAGAGCTCTGATGTTACTTGTGGAGGTAAAAGTCCATCATTTCAAAGTGAAAAGGCATATAAGTAGGAGGCGTAACAGTCTCCCATCTAATTTTTTCTATTTAATTTTTTTTTGGTTTTTAAGTAGCCTATCCTCCAAACTATAATATACTATTACTGAGTTTTACTATTCGGTTTTAATAGTATCCGTCTGCCCAAAATCGGTTTTGTTCAGATTGACCTACTTACCATTATATATATTGAGAAAATTCAAAGATAAAAGATGAGCAAGAGTTTTTGATAAAAAGCTTGCTTTTTAGGTTTTATTGCCAAATCAAACGATAAGGGTAAAACAACATCCAAATGTTCTATGCTCTGTGCATCATGTACTAATCAAAGAACGAGGACTTGACATGTGACAGAGCGTATTGGGATTCTGAGGAGTTCTTTGTAGACGTCATGTTTTGTCGGATGAGAATCCAATCGTAGCGTGAGTTTCTTGAGGATTGCCGAGTTATCTAGCAAGTACCTTACTCGTTTCATTTCTGTAGCATCTTTCGGGATCCTTGTTTGGATATCAACAAACTCGAGCGACGATAACAAACACTTGGGGTGCACAGCCGAAAAACTTATTTGATCCCTCTCCTCATCGTTACTGTAACATCCCGATTTCCGGTATATGTAAAGGCTTATAAGAATTGATTTGGCTACCTATGTCAACAAAGTGCATTTATCTTTTCCAGTCAAGTGTGTTGAGAGAATTCCAGAGTTAAGCATGCTGATGCTGGAGTAATCTCAGGATGGGTGACCTACCGGAAAGTACTATGCGGTACCGTGCGAGTGAGGATAAAGCACGGGGAAAGATCATGTGGTGATTGCAGGGACAGTAAACAAGTTTTACGAGCCTTCCGGACTAATGACTCCTGACCGTCAGACAGTAGTGGACCAACAGGTCTAGAGAGGACGTTGGGCCAACAAGCCTAGAGAGAGGACGTTGGGCCCATGGGCATGGGCGTTGGGCTCACTGGAAAGGACGGTTAGAGGAGTTAGGATTAATATCACCGGTCCGCGCCTGGTCCCTAAAAGGAGAGTGGGTCGGGATGTCACAGTTACACAGTACCATTGCTAAGGAGGAAATCAAAAGGAGAGTGAGATAAAAACGCAGTGAAAAGAATATTGAGAGTTTACTACGTACGTACCTTCATCACCAAGAGGGATTTCAGATTCGGGGCGCTCTCAAGAAAAGTTGGCAACCATCTTAAGCCGCATACACAGAGACTAACACAGAGACGTGACATGCACGAAAACTGGGGCAGTGGTTCTACTTTCGAGTATTTGTAGTAAGTACCCAAAAAAACGAAAAGAAAAATTGGGTAGAGACTTAATGGAAGATTAATTTATATGCTCAAATTAAAGTTTTGACATGTATATACCTTGAAATCATAATAACTAAGAACTAGATCCCTGACCCTCATCAATATATTAATCAGCATATTACGAATCATTCTTCTTTCTGATAAGTTACATGGATCAAAAGCACGGCGAAAGTGGGCATCAATGTGTACTTTTGCAGAGAAACCCGGACAAATGATCTTAAAGCTACATTTTGTAAAGTTAACCTCATGAACCCTCAAAAACTGGAGTAGTGGAGCATCATCGATCACAACTTGAGTAGCAGACAGATCTGTGTGGATTCTCTTTAGCGTCTGAGAGCGCACCTGTAAAACATCTGACAACGGCTTATTAAAGCGACAAGTGATGATGGTTAAATCTTCCAGAACCGGAGAGCCTGAGATAAGTTTCTCCAAAGTGGCCTCGTTGGGAACTATAACATATTCTAAATGGATGGTCTTCAGACAAGGTAAGGAAACAAACTCGGCATTAGCCAAGTTGGCCCCAAAGAGTCGTAAGTGTAGTAGTGTCTTGCAGGTATATATGCTCAATGGTCTCTTTGTTGGCACAGACAGGTAAAAGTATGCATTTCCAAAATGAAGATCAAGATGTTGAATATTATGCCTAGTTAAAAAATCAATCCACAAGGAGACGTCATCACCGGCGGCATCAACAAAATCAACATTCATATGTAACTGGAATTTGCGTATCCATGATGACTCTCTGCGGATATCAAAAAGGCTGTTAAAGAAACTCAACAAGGCATTGAAACTCGAGAATTCTCGGTAGTCTAAGTCCAATCCAGGAACACATTTCCAAAGACTTGTCCATCTTGTGGATAATACGCTTGTCCTAACAGCGTCGTTTGTGGTAAGATAATAAAGAATCTCATATATCAAATGATCTGGTAATTGGCTTATTCTATCTTCCTGTGATCCTTGACTTGACCCTTTGTCACAAATTTTAGTTTTCTTCCTTCTACCCACCATTTGTTAATCTTTAATGAACACACAACTAATCTGCATCGATCAAATGTAAAAATTGAAAACGTTACATAAAAGGGACCATATGTATGTTTTTTGGATGAAATACAAACAACATGCATGTCTTCCCTAGGAGCCCTAATTAATCAAAGATTAAACTTCTGTCGGTTCCAGTTCAGAAAATTTTCAAAAATTTCAGAGTGAACAAGATGAAAGCCGGATGCAGCGATTATATCTTAATTCTACAAGTTCCAGGATTCGAAAGTAAAAAGTTCCGAAATCACAAAAGAGAAACGAGACAAATCAGAACAAAAACCGCAATAGAACTTGTAACAATCATAGAAGCCAAAAAAATATACATCAAAAAAGGCCGGAAGACCTTAAACAGACATCGTAACAGAGTCAGAACAAGAAGAAGAGAGAACGTATCAGTGGGCGAGAGATATTAAAAACACATGGAGGTTAGGTTTTTCAAGGTTTTCTGATGATTATTGATTTACTGAAAACAGAGAACGGTAAACGAAGAAGAATAATAAGAAGAAGAAGAACGAACCGTGATAAAAAAAAAAAGAAAGAAGCAATAGTTCCACTCAGTTTATATCAAATCTTCTTCGATTTACTCTTTGGCGTCAGCTTTTCCCCTCTAATCTAATTTTTCGGTGTTTCGTGTGTGTAAAGAAACCCACTTTAAATTTTGTAATTCTTTTGGGATTTAGAAAGTCTTTTCGGCAAAGTCACTGATAATGACGTATAAGGCCCAATATCTTATGTTTAACCTTTTATGTAATTTTTTATTTAATCATCTAGTTCGCCCTAGCTCTTTGAAGACAATGAAGCCTCTAATTTCACCGAAACAAACAAAAATAATTTGAAATTTATTCTTTAGTTGCAATGCTTGGTTAATAGATTATGAAACAAAAGAAAAGAGCAACGAACTTGGTTGAATAAACAAATAGACGAAAAATTTCATCTCTATTTACTGCAAAGAAACATACGGAAGAGCCTAAACCTGTATTTCTTGTGTGGCAAGAAAGCTTCCTACTTGGAACTGATTACTCAAAAGACAATCTTCATATTTTTCTCTCTAAGCTTTACCAATCAGATGACGATGACTTAACTCGTGATAGAGCATCTTGCGATTTTGAGGAGTTCCTACGTCAACTATTAAATTGTATAGGCCGGTTAAGCTATGGTTAACTAGGGTTAAAATGTTTGTTAGGAACCGGTTAACTTAGATCAATTTTGGTCGATTGTATATAGTATACAGTATACTTGTAAATCATTTTTCATCAATCAATGAATGAGAATTCAAACTTTTTTCTCTTCCGCTCGCTCTCGTGATATGGTAGCAGAGTCAATCTGATCGATTCTCCATTGATTGAGCTTCTTCTTCCTCATCTTTTCGTTTCCTACCGATTATCTTCCCCAGAATCTTCGTTTTCATCTTTCGATGGTGACTCTCCGAAGATCTACTCGAAAACCAGCTCGATTTGCGGCTTCGTCTGGTTCAAATCTGAATCCAGCTCGTAAATCAAAACGATCCACCGTCAAAGCATCAGATTCTCCGCCTACACCTCCAGATGTCCAAACTTACATTTCTGGAGCTTCGCGATCTGTTGCTACTTCGGAATCTCTGGATCCGACTCAGTCTCCGTTCTTTATGCATAACGCGGATCATCCAGGTTTAATCATCATCTCTCTTCGTCTTGATGGTACGAATTATGATGACTGGAATGCTGCGATGTGTATTGCGTTAAATGCTAAAAACAAAACTGGATTTATAGATGGAACATCGCCTCGTCCTTTAGAAACGGATTCCAATTTTCGTCTATGGTCTAGATGTAATAGCATGGTTAAGTCATGGCTGTTGAATGCTGTGTCTCCTCAAATATATCGTAGTGTGTTAAGGATGAACGATGCTACTGATATATGGCGTGATCTCTATGGTCGATTTCATTTGACTAATCTTCCACGCACTTTCAACTTGACTCAAGAGATTCAAGATCTCCGTCAAGGTTCTATGACTCTTTCTGATTACTATACGCATTTGAAGACGCTATGGGATCAGTTAGAAAATACAGAAGAACCAGATGAACCTTGTACATGTGGTAAAGCTGTTCGTTTGCAATTGAAGGCAGAGAGAGCTAAGATCGTTAAGTTTCTTGCGGGACTTAATGAATCATACGCCATTATTCGAAGACAAATCATTGCTAAGAAGGCTCTTCCAACTCTTGCTGAAGTATACAATATGTTGGATCAGGATGACAGTCAGAAGGGATTATCTAATGTGATTGCTCCTCCAGCTGCATTTCAAGTTTCTGATATTGGTACTTCTGAGACAATTTCAGCTACTACTTGCTATGTTCAGTCAGGGCCTAATAAGGGTCGTCCTATTTGCTCACATTGCAACCGAGTGGGTCATATTGCTGAGAGATGTTATCGGAAACATGGATTCCCACCAGGTTTTACTCCAAAAGGCAAACAACAACCTGATAAGCTTCAGAACTCTAACCTGTAGCTGCTCAAGTGGCGTTGTCTGTTCCTGATGCTAAACCTGTTGGAATGGAGCAGTTGGTTGGTAATCTCACAAAAGATCAAATCCAGAACTTCATTGCTTACTTCAGTTCTCATCTTCAGAATCCGACTGTTAGTTCTCAGGAAGCTGGTCCATCACATTCTCTCAATGCTGCCTCTGGTATTGATTTCTCACCCTCAACGTATAGTTTTGTTGGAATATTAACTATTTCCAAACATACTTTGTCAAATCACACATGGGTTATTGACTCAGGAGCTACTCATCATGTGGCTCATGATAAGTCTTTATTTTTGGCCCTTGATACATCTGTTATGAGTTCTGTCCACCTCCCCACTGGATCTACTATACAGATTGGTGGAGTTGGGACTATTCAACTCAACAAAAATATTGTTCTGAAGCAAGTTCTGTTTATACCTGAGTTTAGGCTGAACTTCATCAGTATCAGCTCTCTGACTACAGACCTTGGCTCACGAGTTATATTTGATCCTTGTTGCTGTGAAATTCAGGATCCTATGAAGGGGGTGACGATTGGTCAGGGTAGGAGAGTTGCTAACCTGTACGTGTTGGACACTGGTGTTTCTACAGCTTCAGTAAATGCAGTTGTTGACATTGGCGTTTGGCACAAGAGGCTTGGCCACCCTTCTCTTTCTCGGTTGGATGTTATCTCAGAGACTTTGGGGATCTCAAAGCACAAGAATAAAGGATCTGCTTATTGTCATATTTGTCATTTGGCAAAGCAAAGGAAACTGTCTTTTCCATCTCCAAACAACATTTGTAATACAAACTTCGAATTGTTACATATAGATGTTTGGGGTCCTTTTTCAGTTGAGACATTGGATGGTTATAAATATTTCTTGACAATAGTGGATGATCATTCAAGAGCAACTTGGGTTTATTTGATGAAGACAATAATGAGGTTCTCACAGTATTCCCATCTTTTATCAAAATGGTTGAAAAACAGTACAATGTCAAAGTTAAAGCTGTAAGGTCTGATAATGCTCCAGAACTGAGATTTTCAGAGTTTTATCAACAACATGGCATTGTTTCTTTTCATTCATGCCCAGAAACTCCAGAGCAGAATTCAGTGGTTGAGAGAAAGCACCAACACATTCTAAACGTTGCTCGTGCTCTCTTATTTCAATCTCATCTGCCTCTACATTACTGGGGTGATTGCATCTTGACAGCTGTTTTTCTAATCAACAGAACTCCATCTCAGTTGCTTTCGAATAAGACACCTTATGAAATACTGACAAGTAAAGCTCCTGATTACAGTCAGATCAGATCCTTTGGTTGTTTGTGTTATGGTTCTACATCACCAAAACAAAGACACAAGTTTCAAGCTCGTTCTAAAGCATGTGTTTTTCTGGGATATCCAAATGGTTATAAAGGATATAAGCTGTTGGATTTGGAGAGCAACAAGATCTTCATCTCTCGGAATGTTGTGTTTCATGAAGATGTTTACCCTTTGGTTAATTCGGATGATTCAAAGGTAACTTCTGATATTTTTGATTCACGAGATTCCTTATCACCAGCACCTAATATACCATCACCAAATCCCATTTTTACTAATCCTTCCCCATCACCACTTGTCCCATCCCAAAGGCTGAGAAAGCAACCTGCACATTTGCAGGACTATCATTGTTATTCTTTGCAGTCCAATATTCCTTATCCCATTTCCTCATACCTTTCTTATTCACAAATATCACCAACTCATCTTTCTTACATAAACAATATCACTAAAATTCCTGTCCCACAATCCTATAAAGAGGCTAAGGAATCTCGTGAGTTTTGTAAGGCGATGGATGCTGAGTTTGGTGCTATGGAGTTGAATCATACTTGGGATGTGGTTTCATTGCTTGAAGGGAAGACTAAAGTGGGTTGTCGTTGGGTCTATACTGTCAAATATCATGCCGATGGAACCTTGGAACGATATAAGGCGAGATTAGTCGCCAAAGGTTACACTCAAAAAGAGGGTCTTGACTACAATGACACATTCTCACCAGTTGCAAAGATGGCAACAGTTAAATTCCTTTTAAAGGTTTCAGCATCAAAACGATGGCATCTTAAACAATTGGATATCTCCAATGCGTTTTTGAATGGTGATCTGGACGAAGAAATCTTCATGACTTTGCCCCAGGGTTATGCAGAACGTAAGGGGGCATCTCTTCCACCTAATGCCGTTTGCAAACTCAAAAAGTCCATATATGGTCTCAAACAAGCTTCACGTCAATGGTTTTTGAAGTTTAAAGATGTGTTGCTGAGACTGGGTTTTGTGAAGGCTTATGGAGATCATACTCTGTTCGTCAAATGCTGTGATAATGCTTATTTAGCTGTACTAGTATATGTGGACGATATTATCATTGCTAGTACAGATGAACAAAGCGCAGATGAACTGACTAAATCACTTCAGAACAGCTTCAAGCTTAGAGATCTTGGTCCTTTGAAATATTTTCTGGGCTTGGAAGTGTCTCGAACCTCTAAAGGCATTTCTCTCTGTCAAAGAAAATATGCTTTAGAGCTTCTTACTTCTACAGGTTTTTTGGGATGCAAACCATCAAGTGTCCCTATGGAACCAAATCTGCAATTGTCCAAGGCCGATGGAGAACTTATACCAAATCCAGATATGTACAGAAGTCTTGTTGGCCGGTTAATGTATTTGACGATTACACGACCAGATCTTACCTTCGCCGTCAACAAACTTTGTCAGTTTGCATCAGCTCCTCGAACTAGTCATCTCAAAGCTGTGCACAAAGTTCTCCAATTCATAAAAGGAACAGTTGGTCAGGGTTTGTTTTATTCTGCGGACTCTGATTTGACTCTTAAAGGCTTTGCAGATTCTGACTGGGCTGCCTGTCCAGATAGTAGACGATCTACCACCGGATTCTGTATGTTCCTTGGAGATTCACTTATCTCATGGAAATCTAAAAAGCAACCTACAGTTTCTAGATCTTCTACCGAAGCAGAGTATAGAGCTCTTGCTCTAGCTTCATGTGAAGTGGTATGGTTGAAGATTTTATTGACAGATTTAAAGATCCAACCTACTGCAACACCTGTCCTCTACTCAGACAGCACAGCTGCTATTAATATCGCCAACAATCCCGTCGTCCACGAACGGACGAAACACATAGAAATTGATTGTCACACTGTTCGTGAGAAGTTGGATCTTGGTCTGTTGAAATTGCTTCACATACGAACTGAGAATCAGGTAGCTGATATCCTAACTTAGCCTCTGTTTCCGAATCAATTTCAGTTTCTTAAGTCCAAGATGAGTCTACTTAACATATTCTCATCTTGAGGGGGCATATTAAATTGTATAGGCCGGTTAAGCTATGGTTAACTAGGGTTAAAATGTTTGTTAGGAACCGGTTAACTTAGATCAATTTTGATCGATTGTATATAGTATACAGTATACTTGTAAATCATTTTTCATCAATCAATGAATGAGAATTCAAACTTTTTTCTCTTCCGCTCGCTCTCGTGATATCAACACTACTAGAAATCTGATTATATGGCGCAGCAACAAAGAAAGCTCTGATGTTTACTTGTGGAGGTAAAAGTTAATCATTTCAATGTGAAAAAGGCATATAATTGGGAGGCTTAACAGTTTCCCATCTTATTATTATAGTAAAATCTCTATAAATTAATACTTCGATAAATTAATATATTATTTAAGTAATAATTCTACTAATTTAAATATTATAATTCCAATATTATTAGTTTATAGAGATTTAATTATATTATTATTTTTTGATATTTTTAGAGTATTAAGTCTCTAGTCCTCGAAATTAAAATATATAATTATTGAGTTTTTTTCAGTTTTAATAGTATCTGTATGCCCAAAATCGACTTAGTTCAGTTTGACCTACTGTACTAAGAAAAAGAACCACCCAAAAAACTCAACCGATATATATGTTCTAATTATTGGTATCGGTAATCTCGTATGTTCCAAGAAGTGAACAGAACATTGAATATTTTGAGAAAATTCAATGTAAATAAAGATGAGCAAGTTTTTTTTTTTCAGTTCTTTGCCAAATCAAACGATATGGGTAAACAACCGACAATCCTAAGCTAATCTAACAGGAGGATCCCTAAAAATAACCAAAAAAAAAAATATATATATATATATATATATTTCAAAGAAAAACCAGAGCATAAGTCCAAATGTTCTATGCAGCAGCAGCACCATGTACTAATCAGAGTACTTGCCCTCAGCTTTTCCTCTCTAATCTAATTTCTCGGTGTTTCGTGTGTGTAAAGAAACCCACTTTTAATTTTGCAAATCTTTTACGGCAAATTGAAAAAGTCACTGATAATGACGTATTAAGTCTAAGGCTCAATATCTAATGTCTAACCTTTTATGTTATTTAATCATCTGGTTCGCCCCTAGCTCTTTTACTCTGAAGCCTCTAATTTCACCAAAATAAACAAAAATAATTTGAAATCTTATAGTTTCGCTACACCAAACAAAAACCAACAGATTCTTTACAAGAACAAGATTTAACAGTTTTCAATTTTCATCCTTGTCTACTCCAAAAAGAAATATAATAAACAAAGCCTACTCCTACACGTATTGTGTAGAAAGAGCTTGAGCTTCACATGATCTCTCTCTCTAGTCTTTACCAATCAGAGGACGAGGACTTGACAGTTGATAGAGCGTCTTGGGATTTCCAGGAGTTTCGTGATGACGACAATATCATCTGCACATGAACTCAAACGTAGAGTTATTTTCTCGAGGATTATGGAGTTCTCTTGTAAGTACCTCACTAGCTTCATTTCAGCAGCATTTCCAGAGAAGCTGCTTTTGATATCAACAAACTTGAGTGACGACAGCAAACACTCTGGCACAGTTGAAAAACTGATTATATTCATCTCCTCAGAACCGATCTCGTCAATTAAATTATCCAATGCCTATAGAAAAAAAAAAATAGAGAGGAGAGAAAACATAATGAACAAAACATGTGAAATCTTCATAGAGATGAGAAAAAAATCAAATGATTATAGCATATCATCACCAAGACGAGAAATTTCAGATTTGGGCAGCGCTCAAGAAAAGTTGGCAACCATATTAAATCAGATAGACAGACTGTAGCTTCCAGGCGGGACATGAGATCAAATTGAGGCAGAGATTGTAAACTGGAATTTAGATGAAAGACCTGAAACCGGACATAAAGTAATTGTTGAATAAGAGAATTTCATTATAAATGTAAAAGCCAATACCTGCAACTGAGAATTGAGAAACATATACCATGAAAGTCTCTGCAGATATGATCATTTCTCCAACCTTTGAAATCCCGGGAAGAAACTCCCGGACTTTGTTTCTCTTTGATGAAACACTTGCTTCATCAAAAACATCACCAAAGCCGAGAGAAACATCTAACTTGGCATTGGAATCCAGGTTCTTTATTACAACACTTTCAGAGTAACGATCATCCATCTTCAAAAAGCCTAGCAGAGGAGCATCAATCACAACTCCCAAAACAGAAACAACCTCGAAAGCAGTAAAACGTCGTTCGAAAACGAGTCTCTTCAGTGACAGAGAGTGCACTCGAAAGACTTTAACACCACGCACGTCGATCTCCAACTCTTTCAAGGCAGGACAGCAAGAGACAAGCCTCTCAAAGGTGGAATCGTTGGGAAACCAAACATGCTTCAAATGCATAGTCTTTACACAAGGTAAAGAGACAAACCCGGCATCATCAACCATGTTCATCTGAAAGAGTTTTAAGGAGACCAGTTTCTCACATGTATAAATGCTAATGGGGACCTGATAAATGATATGACCTGGAGAACACCAAACATCTAGATGTTGGATCTTGCGTTTAACTGCAGCATCAATCCATGACTCGAGAAAAGGGACAACATGTACACCGTCTTCAGTTCCATCAAGAACATGTATATTGAGTTGGCTTATGCATGAAACCCTACTGGAATCGAAAAATCTGTCACCGAAACTCACAAAGGCATTGAGATCTGGGAATTCACAAGATGCCAAATCCAAGCAAGAAACCCAAAGCCAGAGAGGTTTCCATCTGGTTGATAAAAGGCTTGTTCTCACAGCTTCCTTTGTTGGGAGAAGAGAAAGTATCTGAGATATCAAAGGATCAGGTAATAGGCTTATCCAATCTTTCTTCAACCTCTGGCTCGACCCTGTGCAACGAGCCTGTTTCACTTCTCCTCTTCCAACCATATTGTCTCTTTTTTTTTGTTATTAAGACATAGAAATCTGCAACAGAAAGCAAGGTTGTAAACGCAAGTTTCAGATAAAGTATTTGGATTTAGGTAAATAGGCAGACATAACACTAATCAGAATTATCCTTTAGTTCAAATTCCAGTGATAGAGAGAAACTAAACCACATTGAAACTAGCCAACCTAGGGTTTTCAAGTTTACCCTTTTTTTTATGACAATGGTCATAGAAACAAAAAAGACACAAGAACAAAAAGCTCAAGGAAGAAGAACAAGAAGAAGAAGAAGAACCCACATTGTTTCGAGCACCGGAATGCAATCACCTGTCGGAAATGTAGATCGTAATGTCGCAGACGAAATGGAATCAGTGGCTGTAAATTGTAATCGCTCTCTCAAGACTTGCGAGAACAAGTTTAATAGTTTGTCCAAAAGCCCAATAATTTTTTAAACATTTGTAATGTCAGATTTATGGATAAACTTGTTTATAAACTAAACTACTTTCCCTTGTTAATAAACTATTCCTTTGATTAGTAATTTTGGGGAACGGTGGAATGGCCGAAAGAATCTTGCAAAATAGAATAATCTATTTATCATTCGTTTTTCTGTGGAATGGTTTTGTATTGGTTTTCCTGCGGATTGACTTTTTTTTCTAAGAAAAACGTGCAGATTACGTTTTGTATATTTTTTTATTAATATAATATTTTCTTTATACAGATTTTTTATTTATAACTAACTCTTATTTTTATATATTTTTATAAGAAAAACGTGTGTATTTTTTCATTAATGTAATATTTTCTTATTCCAGATTTAGATTTTTGTTGATTAACCAAAAAAATATTTGTTGATTAGCAAAAAAAATCTGCATATACGCAAAATGTAATATATTCTCATTTCACAAAAAACCTACATTTACACAATTTCATTATTTCGCAGATTTACACTATTTCGCAGGTTAACAATCCGAACCTATGTCAAATTTGTTGTGTCGAGACATGTGATGTGAATATCATAACCTATGTCAAATTTGTTGTGTCAAGACATGTAATGTGAATACGCGCATCAGTTTATTACTAAGATCTCAAGTGATAATAATGTTAGCTCTTGGATTTCTGAATTTCAATGGCGACTCTCACCAGGTCAAATAAACGTTAACGATTTTGGAATACCATTTCAAAAGATAAAACAAGACGCTCCAAATTGAGACAGTAAAATCGAATGTTTTTTTTAGCTTCGATGATTGGAGCCTTCATACACCGAAATTTAAAAAAAATAAATAAGATAAGAGATTGTGGCTTCCATAATTCTCCTCTAATCTCACCGTCACTAAATCAGAGCTCTTTCTTCGGTTTTCAAGCTTCCTTATTGCTTCGCCATATAATCAGAGCTCTGTCGTGGCTTGCTCAAGATCTTAACGTTTGAGATGCTTTCTCTTTGGACTGTTTTCTTTAACCCCTGAGATTGAGCCATAGGAGTCATAGCCACATAGATCGAGTTTGGAGTTGATGAAGCTGAAGCTGCTGCTGCTACTTTCGCTGCTGCAGCTGCTGATGCCGAAGCTGCTACCATTTTCTGTGCACCTTCTCTTACTTGAATGTAATCGTCCTCTACCACAAATAACTGCAGCCAAAACCAGTTTTATACTTAAAGTTTTGAGAGAAAAAACCACATTCAATTTTTTGGGAATTGGGATGAGAGACAGACCTCAAGATGGCTAGCAACAAACTCGTCGAGCTTCCCATACTTTTTCCTGTAATCATGCCAGTGGAGAGGTGCTAGCATCTTTCCCAAACGATTTGGAAGCTGTAAAAATGACATATTAAAGCAGATGTTATAAGAAACTCCATTTCCAAAATTCAATTGTTTACACTCAATATGGTTACGGGTAGTTTGCTCTCACCGTTGAACTGATTCTGATTCTTCCACCAGCCGGTATAGTACGAACGATGCAAGCCAAAAGCGACCTTTCATCCAGAAGAGTACTATCTAAGTTCCTCTCAGCTTTCCCAGATAAGACTAGAGTTTCGGGCACGATGGATCTAGCACCATTTTGTTCACCAGGTGAAACCTGACCATTAGCCTCCTGTGCAAAGAGATCAAATAGAAAACAGATTCAGAATTTTTATCCCTGTAGCCAACTTAACTACATTTCACAAGCCAAGAAAATTTTCTGGATAATACGTGCATACCTCAGGTTTCTGATTTAGGGCATTGGAATCTAGCCTTAGCGCATCACGGAACTGTGAAGAAATGTCTTGAAAGTTATTCTCTGACGTATTGGATCTAAGGTAATCTCCATTGCCAGATTCCACTACCTGTTAAGGAGTAATTTCTAAGATAGTGTCGTATCGTATAAGTAATACCACATGTAGTAACAAGAACATCCCCTACCTGTTCATTCACAAAGGATGTTGGTGTAGTTGATCCGTATTGAGCTCCATGGCTAGTTTGAACATCCAGATACCCTTGACCAAGAGACTGTCCATTGGCAGGCACTTGATATTCACTCTTCGCATCAGAACTTACTAAGCCATGAACACCTTGAGATGGATGCACATGATTTTGCGTAGGCATCTGTGAACTATCTGGTACAGCCTGCGAAGAAAGCGTGAAAGACTAAGGTCATTAACTGTAACTAAAGTGACACAAAAAGATGCATTCTTTAGCCTCACACCTTTTGCTGCTGCAGAACTGTTTGTGCAACGTGAGGTGAATGGCCCCGAGGCTGAACCAGCTGAGGATTCTCTGGTTGATTCATGACAAAAGAATGCAGAGGTGTCATCTGACCCGCTTGAAGGTATCCCTGCGTCATAAGATCTACATCTTTGTTCTACAAATAATCACAAGAGAAAAAGCAGCCACGGTTAGGATATGATCCGTTTGTTTCATTGCCAGAATACACAACGCATCAGACTGAATATGATGTAGCATGACAAATCTAGAACTCTGAACAATCAAAATAAAACGGAATAGACAAGTAACGAAACAAACACTTCCAATTACAATATCACAGAACTTCTTTACGGACCATCTTAATTTCCAGAATATCGCTTCTAAGCTGCCTGGAATAATCATCTATTTCACTTTTGCTTAGTAATTTTTGCATCTTACGCCTAAAACTGTACCTCGATTTGGTTCCCGCTGTTCTGGATAAGCTGGTTCTTGCTGTTTTCATGAGCCTCGAATTGTTTACCGCTGTTCTGGATCATCTGGGAGACACCGTTGGAATTTGTTTTGGAGCCACCTCCTTCCTTTACATTGGCAAGTTGAAGCTGAAGCTGTTGCACTGTATGCACATGCAATCTCTCCATCTCCGCAAACTGAACTCAGTGAGATGGAATAGTATAAGATAAGAGTAGCATTGTCTCGAGCAGAAAAACACTTTGGAAGAAATTCACTTCAGATAACCAACCTGTCTTTGGCAACCAAGCCAGAGCTGGTTATACTGCTCAGTACGTTCTCGCAATTCAGCTTGCAACGAGTGATTTGTAGATGATTGTAAAGCATCCATCTCTTGGGCACGCGTAATCCAACCTTGCGCTTCTCTCAGTTGCTCATCCTTGTACATGATAGTTTCTTGAGCAATCCTATTCTACAAACCATTAAGGATAAAGACTCTGTTATTAGTGTATTTAGAAAACGAACACGATGATGAGATATAACTGTAGGCTGCTAGATCCATAACCACGACATGTTTGAACAGTGTTGATCGTGTAGCGAAAAAAGGGGAAAACTAACTTGTTCCTGCAATTCAGAGAACTGTCTCTCTTTCTCTTGTATATGTTCCTGAAGTTCAGATATTTTATGTATATTCTGGGACCTCTCAGCTTCAGAGTGATCACGTTCCCTTCTGCAAATTAAGAAAGTAAGAAAATGTAGCTTCAAAAACGTAAACTGTAAAACGAAAAAAAAAAATGTAAGACCTTAGAGAAGAGTAAAGAGTTACAAGAATGGAAAGTACCTGAGAGTAACAAGTTCTTTGTTTTGTTCTCTTAGTAGACCCTCTTTCGCCCACGCCTGGTAGGAGTACAAGGAAAATTATGAATCAAACCATTCATACTAATCTGTATAACTGTATCTGAAGAACACCTTGGAATAAAATATAAACCAACATACCGCTTCGTTATCCAGTTTAATCGCATGCAGCTCTCTGTCTTTATCTTCTATCTTTCTCTCCATCTCCCGAAGAGATCTCTCCTTCTCATGAAGTTGCTCCTAAAAGTTCAAAAACATTCCTTTATCTTCCATGCAACATTGAAATGGCTCGATGAAACACATAAACAGCCAAGCGCTACTAGATATTCCAATACATATAAATTGAGAAATCAACCTGCATTCTAGCTGCAGCATTTTCATACTCAGCGGATCGAGACTCAAAGTTTCTCTGGATTTCCATTGCCATCATCTGAGCTCGGAGCTCAATCTCACGCTGCTGCAGCTCCCCTTTTTGTCTAGAAACGCTACGAATCTGCTCCAACAGTTCACCATCTGAACAAGAACCATCCATCGCAATAGAGTAGAAATCCAAATCACCAGGCTCTCTTCCATTCTACAACACAAGAAACCCCACACAAATTAATGTCATTTCCACTCTCCAATTAAGTAAAAAAGTGGAATTGCAAGAGAGAAGTAATTAACCTCGTAGATGGTTCTCTCATCTGTCTGGTTTAGCTTCAACTGTTGCAAATCCTGCAACGAAATTCGACAAAGGCGATCAAAATGTGAAGTGGGTTACTTTCCCTCAACATTTCTAAACGAACATTGAATATGTCATCGCTACAGAGAGCAGCATAGTTTAAGGTGACATCGAGAACAGATAAAACAACATAAGCAAATAAAAAAGATTCAGAAGGAAACACGTCCCAGAGAGAACATTACCACATAGTCTGTGGCGTTTCCAAAGTTATGTGAATCCGAAACGGCGCGCCACTCTTTCCTTGACGGAGTCGGCGACGGATTCTGAAGGGAACCGCCACGAGTCGCGGCTACGCTCGAAGCGGTATCCATTAGAGAGAAACCCAACGAAGATCCACTGAGAAAACTAGGGTTTTATCGGAAAAAGCGAGTAAAAAAATGAAAAACAAAAACCCTAGAGATTCTAGCTAAGACGCAGCCATAGATGCTGAATAAAAGACCGGGGATTGAAGAAGAGAACAGCTGAAGAAAGGTTTAAGGAACGAAAATGGCGGAAATGTTTGACGCAGGAGAGACGAAGAAGCAAAAGTGACGAGAGAGAGACGACCCGAAAGTTCTGAAATTACAGTATCAATGATTTGGCAAACTTTTCTACTCCCAAGAGTGAAGCTCGTGTTTCTGATCCTCTTGGGCCTATTGGGCCATGATATCTTCGGCCCATCAATTCGTTGTGGTTAGATTCCTTCTTCGGTTTATATACTTTATATATTTTCGTTTACAAGAAAACTACAATTAAATTAGTTGGTTCCTTTTGAATTTGTTATTTAGACAGGCTAAGAGTGGACCATAGGAATTATATATATAAAAAAAAATGTGTACAAGCAAAACTTTTAGTAGTTAGAAGTAAGCAAGAAACACATAACAATCATGTCTTTACACAAGCAAACGCTCGTATAATTTCACTGATGTCTTTACATATGAAAGCAGTCCTAGCCAGCATCACCTGTCGAAGATAGCCTCACTATGATCCTTCTACTCTTTACAATTCAGAAGATGACGGCTTGGCATTTAGTAGCTATAGCCTCTTGTATAAGAAGCCATAGTGAGTTTCTTGAGGATGGCCACAGGAAAGGTGAGTTTGGGGTATGGTTTCACATAAACTACTCTATCATTAATAAAAACTTAAAACTATTCATTCTTCAAATTAAAAACGTAAAACTATTATATGTCCACAAAAAACTCATTCTTTAGCAAGTAATTTATTAGCTCCACTACAGCAGCATAATAAATTGGGGCTATGATTTCAACAAACTCGAGAGACGATAGCAAACACTCAGGCACAGATGAAGATGAAAAATTGATTTCGTTAATGTAATCATCATATACATTTTTGGCGATGCATACCTGAGGCAAAAAAAAAAAAAAAAAAGAGAGGATTAAAACATGTATACGCAAAATTTTGATAGAGATGAGGAAAAAACTTGTTAGGGTTTAGCAAATCATTACCAAGCTGAGGGATTTCAAGTTGGGGAAGCTCTCAAGAAAATTTGGTAACCATTGAAAACTCTATGTACAGAGAGTTATCTGAAGACGGGACGTGTGACCAAACTTAGGCAGTGGTTGTAACTTCGAGTATTGATAGAGGAGCTGAAACCAAAACGAAAGATAACGTGAGTGACAAGCTTTCATCATAGAAACTTTAAATTTACATGACCTAGACATGCATCGACGACATACCTTGAACGTGCGTGCACATATACTCATATCGGAGACCCTTGAAATCCCACTGAGAAAATCGGAGATACTACTTCTCATCGGTGAAACGATTGATTCATCAAACTCGCCCAAAACAGCTCCATCATCAAACTCGTCCCAATTAGTTTTATCAACCTCTTCCAAACCAAAGACTAAAGACATATCTAATATGGTATTGGAATCCAAACTGTCCACAATGAATCTTTTTGATACGTTATCATTGATTTTCAAAAAGCATAGCCGAGGAGCATCAATCACAACTCCTGCGGAATCACTGAAAAACGAAGAAACTCGTTCGAAAGTGAGCCTCTTCAGCGACAGAGAATGCACACGAAAGACTTTTCCATCATCATTAGCTACAAAAATCTTTAAATCTTCCAGAACCGGGCAGCATAAGACAAGAGTTTCGAAAGTGGCCTCGTTGGGAAATTTGACATATTCTAAATGCATAGTCTTCAGTTTAGGTAAGAAAACAAACCCGGCATCGTCCAATGTCACCTGAAAGAGTTTTAAGCATACGAGTGTATGACATGTATAAAGTCTTTGTGGCATTTTATGAAACCGATGGTCTGCGTAAGAATAAGAATGGACATGAAGATGTTGGATCTTATGCTTAACCGCAGCTTTTAACCATGGCGTGAGATAATAGGCATCTTTTACACCGTCTTCGTTTCTATGAATAGTTAACTTGAGTTTGTGTTTGCATGAAACTCTATTAGAGTCGAAAAACCTGTAGCCAAAACTCATAAAGTTATTAAAATCTGAGAAATCTCGGGATTTCAACTCCAAACTAGGAAGCCAAAGCCAGAGTTGCCTCCATCTAGTAGATAAAACGCTTGTCTTCACAGCTTCCTTTGTGGAGAGAAGAGAGAGTATGTGACATATCAAATGATCAGGTAACTGGCTTATCATATCTTTTGAATGAGCCCTGTTCACTTTCCATCTACAAACCAGGTATACTTTTTTCATGGAGAAAGCTATTCTGCATAACAAATTGAAAACCTAAGTTTCAGAGAGACAATCTGGAAAATCCACCAAAATTCTTGAGTTTTTTTTTTTTTTTTCTTTACTGTTCGAGTTATAACCTAATCTAACCTAGCTAACCTAATCTAACGGAACCTAATCAAAATTCTCCAACCAGTGAAAAGAGTTTTCAAAATATCCACTAAACTATATAAAACCCATAAAATACATCAAACAATATTAGGCTGAAGACATAAAAAAGAAAGAGTAAGACTAAAAATCACATGAAAACTTACGGTTAATTTCAAAATCCTTACTAAAAACAAACGAAAGGTAAAGAAGACAAATTGAGAAAAAGAACTAACCGTGATCTTGCCATGATGGTATAAGAGATAGTCAAAGCAATTGATGTGTAGATTATATTTATAAGGGACTGATTTGTGCGTGGTTACAGGAACTATCGTATACGGCAAAAGAAAGTTACGTTGAGAATTCACAAACCTAAAACCCATATTTATAACTCCAAACTAGAAAATAAATTGGAAATTTTCCTAATCCAAATGAAATTATCTTAAAATCCGATTCCACTAAGAGGATGTCCAACCCTGAACCTCCTTAAGAGGTTTTAATCAAATTTTTATTAATATTTCTTTCGAAGCTTAAAAATTAAAAATTTCTCATTTTTTATGGTTCCAACTCTGAGCTCTCTATTCTTATTATTCTTCTCCTTCTTCTTCAGAAAATCAAAGAGAGAAAAGCATCAAAGCTCAAAAATGTCAGATACAAATCATGAATCCTCAAGCTTCAATGCTTTAAACATTGACGTCACTGAATCAATCCTCTCCCTCCTCCCAATCCCTTCTCTTGTCCGTTTCTCCTCCGTCTAAAAGCTCTTCCTCTTCGGTATCCACAACACCTCCTCCTTCCCCCTCTCTCCCACTCTTGGCTCCGTCTTCCCTCCGCCTTTTTCCCTTCCGTCTACCTCGTCGGCTCCGATCGATTCCTCTTCACCACCGCTCCTCGATTCTCCTTCTTTTCCATTCTCAAACCTCGTTGGCGTCTCACTTCCCCTATTTGATTTCCCCCAATTAGCCCTCTTTTGGCGAAGTTATGCAGAAGAGACGAAGATAAAAAGAGATTTTTGAAGAAGTGTCCGATGTGTGTCCAGGAAAGAGAGACCCAAAAGGTTTTCTCAAAAAAATATTCGCTCCAACCAATTATGCAACGCCACGTCACTCTTGAATTCTATCAAAAACAGATTCTATGATCTCTTAGTATTAGAACCGGTTCAAACAAAATGTGAACTTATCTGATTAAAATAAACCCAAATAATGTTTTCAACCCTGCTTTGAACCCCTTCCAACCCTGCGTTGGACTTGGTCTAATGGACCGTCTTAATGGCTTTTGTTTTGAATTAGCGGGGATTCACAGAAATAGGCAAAACGTGGTCGTTTGTTAGCGGCCGGTTCTCTTAAGCCGATTGTGGAATCCGAGACGGACCCTTAATCCGGTTCGGGTTTAGTTTCTGTAGAATTTTAGATTTCAGTCTTCTTCTTTTTTTCAACCCAATTAGTTTTTGTTTTTTTTTGAAAATTTGTCATGTCTGGATCTGGTTCATGTCGCAACCAAAACCAAAATCTCCTAAATTATTAATTACATCATTCTGTTTTACTGACACATACATTTCTTGACGCCTAAGTCAATTGCTTAAACCAGTCAAAGACAAGCTTGACATATTCTCTAAAGTCTTTTCCAATCCAACGACGACGACTTGACATGTACTAGAGCGTCTTGGGACTTTGAGGAGTTTCTTGACAAAGTCATCTTGAATCGCATGATAATGCAAACATAGGTCGAGCTTCTTCAAGATTGTCGAATTCTCCAAGAAGTATCTCAATACTTCCATTTCTACAGCATATCCCAAGATGGTGCTTTTGATATCAACAAACTCGAGGGACGTTAACAAACACTCAGGCACTGATGAAAAACTGATTTGACTCATCTCTTCTATACGCATCTTCTTAGAGTTACCATTCCAATCCTGAGATAACAGAGAGGAGATAAAAACACAATGAAAAGATACCAAAGCAGAACACACCTAAACAGAGATGAGAGAATCATATATAAGGGTTTATCAGATTATTCACCAAGGTTAGGGACTTCAGATTCGGACAGCTCTCGAGAAACGTTGACAACCATTCTAAATTGGATAAACAGAGAGTTACATACAAGCGGGACATGCAACCAAATTGAGGCAGCGGTTCTAACTTCGAGAATTCGTAGATGACCTGTAACCAAACAGACATATTATCATTTCCCTGACCACCAAGACCTACACTGACATATCTGTATGTACCTTGAACGTGCGTGGACAGATTATCATTTCTCTGACACTTGAGATCCCTGAGAGAAAACAGCCGATTTTGTTTCTCCTCGATGTGATGCTTGCTTCATCATAATTCCTCAAACCAAAGAGGAGAGAGATATATAACTTGGCATTAGACTCCAAACTGTCCACTCTAAAGCTTTCTGATGCGTGATCATTGATGCTCAAAGTGCATAGCAGAGGAGCATCGATCACAACTCCTGAAACAGAATCAAACTTGAAAGGAGAAACTCGTACTAAAGTGAGCCTCTTCAGTGACCGAGAGCACACCCGATAGCCTTTTGTATCATTCCAAGCTATGTCAATTTTCAAGTCTTCTAAGACAGGGCAGCTTGAGACAAGTCTACCGCAAGTGGTCTCATCAGGATATCTATTATCTTCTAAATACATAGTTTTCAGACAAGGCAAAGAAACAAACTCTGCATTAACCACGTTCACCTGAAAGAGTTTCAAGGATACTAGTGTCTCACAGATAAAAAGACTTCGAGGCATCTCATAATAAAACTCTGGAGGACAACTAACATCTAGATGTTGAATCTTATGCTTAACCGCAGAATCAATCCATGACTTGAGAAAAGAAGTCTCATCTACACTGCCTTTATTTTCATAGATATCTAACTTGATTCTGTGTATGCGAGAAACCCTATTGGAATCTAATACCCTGTCACTAAAACTCACAAAGGCATTGAAATCCGGAAATTCACAAGATGCTAATTCCAAACTAGGAACCCAAAGCCAGAGATTCCTCCATCTGGTGGATAAAACGCTTGTTCTTACAGCATCATGTGTAGGAAGATGATACAGTATCTGACATATCAAAGAATCAGGTAGTTCACTTATCATGTCTTCCTTCAATCTCTCAATTAACCCTTTGGAACTATCCTGATTTGCTTTCCATCTACCAACCATGTGTTCAATTCCTCTGTAGCTACTTCTCTGCGTAACGAAATTGATGATAACGCAAGTTTCAAAGAGACAATCTTGATTTGGTGGAAGTCAATCAAAATTCTCCAACAGTTCAAGTTCGACTTAAACCTAACCTAACCTGATCAAAATTCTCCATCCAATGAAGAAAACTACATCGATCATTGTGCTGAAGACTTAAAACTAGCCAGGCTAGGGTTTTCGAAGTTTTCTATTGGTTACTATGATCAAAACGAACGGTGAAAGAAGAAGAAGAAGAACCCACCGGTGATTGCGACGACGGAATCGGATTCTGAGTATCACGCACAAATCAACTTCTCGTGAACTCTGAGATGAATTGTTAAATTGTTCTTCTCTGCGAAACCTTGTTGGTAATAAAGCTTAATGCACATTTATAGATGATTAATCTGTGAAAGATTGATAATAACGAGTCGACGACGCCGTTTTATAGTAGTTGAGGGATCATTAGCCATTTATAGAAACGACGTCGTTTTGATACGGGATTGTCTCTTAAGCAAATTCGTGGAAATCGAAGAGATTTGAGAGACTACGAGGAGGAAGAAGAAGACGATGGGGTACGTGTTGAGGGTAAGATTGGCTTCTTTCTTCGCTGGAGCTGCGACTGCGTCTTTTATCGGCCTCTCTGTTCTCTATAAGGATTACAAGGTCGCTCACGAATCGATTTCTCAGCAGGTTTGCAATCGATTCGAATCCTGTTTCTCGTATCGGATCCATTTCTTTCGATTGGCTCCTGGGCAAAGTTATTTCGCCGTAGATTTTGTTTGAGAGTAGCCTGAATCGATGCATTTCGTTAGTATAGTTTGTTAAGGAAAATTTGTTGATCCTGTATCGGAAAAAGAGTTGAGAATATTTGGAGATACAGGGAGCATTTTAGGGTTCATGTGTTTACTCTTCTCTTGTCATCTCTACGATTCAGCTTCATACGCAACCTGTTTTAACCATTTTGGTGCAAGGAATCACACAAATTTAATGTTCATTTCGGAATTAGGGTTTCTGGTTGTGTTGCCATTTAGCTACTTGTCAGACTTGGTCCTGAACTATGGACATGCTTGCGTTTCATTGGCACCTATTCGTTAATGCTGCTTATAATTAGTTTTGTGTGAATCTTGAGATGCCAAATTGCTAACATGAGAAAACCTTCAAACATTTGGTAATGCAAGGTCATCATTGTGAATATCCACAGCAGCATTGTAGCTTTGATGTTATACTGTGTTTGCAATATGAAAATACGCTGTAGAAATAGTTTTGTTCTTTTTAGAATCTTTAGATGCCAAAGTGTTAACATGAGAAAACTGTCAAGCATTTGGTAATGTGAGTATTGGTTGAGTTGAGGCATAACAATTATAATTTCTTCTGTAGCGTTAACTGTTTTAGAATACCGACATGATGGTCATTGAACTGTATATATGATCTCTGTTTTTTACAGGCAAAGTCTTTTCATGACTCTCTGGATAGAAGGATCTCTACTCTTGAAAGCTTGAGACAAAGTGAAGCTCCACAGCTTGCTGAGACAACTGATTAACACATCTGTCTCGACATTGATACTCTCTGCTTTGCTGATGATGTTTTTGAGGTTGGCTCTTTTTCGCTTTTATGAATAACTTGGAAGTTCTTGTAAGCCTACTGTTATCAAACAATGAAGTTAAGGTTGTCTACATGGATTGAAACTTGCTGTAACACTTGCCAATTAAAAAATTGAATGTTTCGACATATTGGTTTGGATCTTAAGGCAGTAGCATCTTGTTCTTCAAATACGTTCGCTTTTATCTAGACCACGTTCGAAACTTGAATCTACAGGTAGCTTGAGATTTAGTAGTTATGGTGATGATAAGCAAGACCTAGAGTCTCTGAGTCTTTGACTATACTCATGAATCAAGTATGGACCAAACCAAGGAGCCTAGTGTCTGTACATGGGCTCTTGATGTTAAGACATATGACCCAATTCGATAGAACAGTACAGTTCCCAGATCTTTCACTCTCACGGGTTTGGAACTTTCGGGCATTAAAAAGAAAAAAACTGAAAAGTCTTGCTAGATAATCGTAATTTAGCTATTAATATTCGTAAATTTTAGTAGATCATAAAACACTATAATCCCCTAGCACGCCTTCTAATCCCAATCGTATACCAAAAACCTCGTTTAAAACACAAGTCTTATGTTTATGTGAGAACACAAAGTATGTTTGTAAAATGATAATTTCAACATGTAAACATTGAATTTTCTTTTTTGTTTTCGGTGCTTACGGTTACAATTAACAAAATTCTTCAAATGTTTGATATTCAGAAAGTTAAAACAAGTAGATAAACGCAAACACAAAACGCAGCTAGAGCTTAAGTTTCGAGCTTTAGGCAAAAGATAAACAACTAACGACAATAACATGTTCTTCTTTAATGTCATTTCTTCACTACAAAGATCTTCTAGTTCTTTACCATTCCCGTTATACAATATATCTCGCTTTTTAGAAACTATATAAATATCTAGTTTCGGATAATTAAAGAAACACATAAATAGGGGAAAAAGAACGAAAAAAGGAATCATAATGGAAAGACATGTCGAGAGCACATGGTGTTTTGGCTAGTGACAGATTCCGATGTGAAAGAAAAGAAAAGGTAGAAAGATCAAATAATAATATGAGAGAGATATGTATTTGTCTCCTTGGCGGTGGTATGGTGGCTTCGTTATCACCCGACACCTCCTCAAAATTGAAATACACCTAGTACTATATTCATAATTGCATACACATCTCGTTATGTAGATACGACACTTGATCATGGATGACTTTGTTGTTCCATCATTTTCTTCTTTCTAGAAATAAAAACATTTTTGAAAACGTAAATGTTGGATGAGACTTTAGGATCGCATCCAACTATAGTAAAACCTCTATAAATTAATAATGTTAGGATCATAATATTTTATTAATTTATTGTGATATTAATTTATCTGTTATTAATTTATAAAGAAAATTTGCTTTTTACATATAATTTTTAAAAACTTTTTTTGGAATAATGTTATATTTTGAAATTTTAACAAATCTCATAATATAAATTATAATTAAAAATCATAAATATCACAATAAAATAGTTTTTAACACCATATTATATTTTCCATATAAAAATATAGACGTTTATAAGTTTAAAATCTATAAAAAAACCATAGCTATTACTAGTATTGTTGCTAATAAAATTGAAGATAACATTACAATGCATTTAAAAATATTTACAAGTAACAAAATCAATTATCACATAAAAATTATCATAAATTTTGATTGTATATAGTAAAACAGCAATAAAAAGCTACTGATAGAATAATTAGAGAGATGGGAACCAATGAGATTTTAATTTTAAGTAAAAACAAACATATTAGTCATATTTTAAAATATTATATTTATATACATTTGCATAAATTTATATAATTATTAATTTATATTTTTGTTGGGACCATATATTTACATAATAGTTTCAAAAAAAATATTATTTTATTATCTTATTAAATTTGATGGATTTTTACATTAGCCCGATTTGGGACCAACAACATTTATTAATTTATAGTAATTATTAATTTA